GGCTTTTTTCTTTTTGCTTATATGGTGCTGAGGAATCGAACCCAGGGCCTCATGCATGCAAGGCAAGCGCTCTACCACTGAGCCACCTTCCCAGCCCCCAAATGGAAAATTTATCCTTTCTACAAAGCAAGAAAAGGTGTGGATCTCTTTGGAACTTTCAAAGCCCTGGTGTTCAGAGGGCTCAGCCATCCTCACCAAGACAAGAAGGAATGGTTTCTAAAATACAAGCCCACCACAGTGGTGCATTCTGCATGCAGCCATCCTGGGCTCCGGGGAAAAAATGTACATGCTCCCTGATCCTTAGGGTGTCTGGGGTTCTGGGGCCGGGCCTTAGGGAGGACACCATTCTGACTTTGAACAAATAGGCAGCCAAGGTGTGGTCTAATTATAGAAACTGTCCTCTTAGAGGGCATCTAAGTGATTAATTAAAGTACCAAGAAACAGAACAGAAACCGCACTCTTATTCTGACATACAAGATAACTCAAATGGCTTTTGCCTCCGCAGTGGGAATTTGTGGCTGCTTTCCGACAGGCTCAGTGCCAACAAAATGCCTTGCCCGATGTGAATGCTGGCATGCGGGTCCTGTTCAAAGAGGGCACCGACACCATTGGGGACCTGAGTGTCACCTATGGAGGGGTAGCCGCTTCCACCGTCAGTGCACACAAATCTTGCCATCAGCTTCTCGGCAGGTAAGGGGTGAGCCCTGTACCCTGATCATGCGCCTTGATGGCTTGAGAAACAAAAACAAGGAACAAGTGGGAATTGGGGCTGTGGCAGGTGTTGAGAAAACCCTGGAAAATGGAAGCTCAGACTTATAAAAATCATGGCTTGTTTGTTCTGTAATTTTCCAGAATGAATTAAATCTTGATTAACTTCAATTGATTGCCTGCTTCTCTTCAGGTTGAGGAACCCAGTAAAATAGCCCAGCCTTAGTTTATCTTGCAGGTGGTGTTACCCCCACCTGGCCCCCAATACCTTCTGCAGTGACATACTGGGCAGGGTCAAAGCAGCACCCCACATTTCCGTTTCAGCATGCATTCCATTTCTCCCTGAGTAGCAGCCAACTACTGTTCCTGATATAGGATTCCTTAGTTCTGCAACAGTAGCCCTATTGGTACATTTATTTAGTACCTACTTCTAACATGTTCTAGCTCTGGGATATGCTTCATTTTTGTTGCAATGAAAAAGGACTCATTTTCACCCTGCTATGACCCTTGGGCCTGGTAAAGCAGCCTTCCGATGCCTTCATTTTCCAGGGGGAAATAAGAGGATTTCAAAATCTCCTCTAACTCAAAGGAAACTCTGCAATCTTTAATAGTCACCATCCAATAGTTAGTATATGCCACAAAATGAAGACTGTCCATTAACTGGTTTCTCCTGCCTCCACCCTGCCAGGCACTGGAATGAGCGAATGATGGATGAGGCTTGCAGGCTGCTTCTGGATGAAATCTCCCTCCCAGGCTCAGCTCCTGGGGGCAAGGTGGAGTTCAAGAGGACACTGATAGTCAGCTTCTTCTTCAAGTTCTACCTAGAGGTTTTGCAGGAACTGAGGACACAAGTAAAGCTATCCTCTGTGCCTGTAAGTCTTCACAGATGACTTTGTTGGGGTTGCTACAATAACAAGTAGTCATTTTATCTCCCAGGGCTGGGGGCTAGCAGGGCTAGCCATCACTCAGCATGGCTGACTCCTCCTGAGAACTGTGAGAAAGAATCTGTTCCATGCTTCTTGCCTAATTTCTGGCTGTTCACGGGCAATCTTTGGGGCTTATTAGCTTGTACAAGTATCTCCCTTCACATGACATTCTCCTCAGATGCTTGTCTACATCCAAATTTCCCCTTCTTAGAAGGACACCAGCCATGTTGGATTAGGACTTGTCCTAATGACCTCATTTAACTTATTTGCCTCTATAATAATAAGGGCCCTGCCTTCTTAGGGTTAAGACTTCGACATATAAATTTGGGAGAACACAACTCAACCCGTAGTCTGGCTTTTATGAGCTCCTCACAGCCGTGAGCTCCCAGCTTACCCACTGCTTCTGCAAACGGTCTTGTGGGCAGCCTAAGCCACGACCTGTCACCAATTGAGTCAGGCCTTGTTGTTTCTCAGCCTTCCTCTGTGACTCAGGCCTGAGGACCAACATGAAGCATCAGGTGCCAAACTATCTTCAGCCCACACAAGTTCACTGTGTGTGCACGGAGCACTGAAACTTGCTGTTCCTGCCTCCAGTGTGTGATGTTCTTCTTTACAAATAAACTTTATTGAAGTATACTATACAGCCAGTAAATTGCACCTAATTAAATTAACACATGTGTAGACCTGTGCAGCTACCACATAAGTGTTCTACGTGCCCCATAGAGCACCCTTGTTTGTATCTCTGGTGTCATCATCAGACCCTGCCCAGGCAACCACTATTCTTCTTTGTGGTACTGTAGATTGTAGAACTTTTCATCCAATCTGAAATATATATTAGTGTGACTAAATACCCAAGAAAGAGGAGAGATGTATTTTAGGGGTTCATGGTTTTAGAGAGGTCCATCTGCGTGGTAGGGAGGCATAGTGGGGCAGAGCAGCTCACATCACAGCAGCCAAGAAGTGGAGAAGGGGCTGGAGGGAAGAGGCCAGGGACAAGCTACCTTGGGGCCCTACCCTCAGTACCTACTTCCTCCGGGAAGCACCATCAGCCGGGGGCCAGCCTGTCAATACATGAGCTCATGGGGGATATTTCATATTCAAACCATAACAACTAAAAATAAAAATTTTATTTTTAGAAAGATAAAACTGACATATAGTCATATATTATCTATATGATGTATAATGTAGCTGTGTCATGTCATATGTCATATGTATCTATATATGATATGGGTGGCATATAGTATATATGTTATTTGTGTGATACATATTATATATGTATATGTCATATGTATACATCATATATATCATGCATATGATACATATTATAGATATCACATATGATACACATCATACATCTATACCTGTACATGTCATATGTACATATCCTATATATGTGCGTGTGCACGTACATACATATCACATATGTGATGCTTATATACTATGTGACATATATCATAAATGTGATATATATACACTAATGTTTAAAATAGCTCCCTAGAGTTTTTGTTGTAGATTTCTTGGAATAAGACAAGCCAAGTAAAATATCCTCCCTGCCACTACACATACCCCTGTCTACTCTGATCACAGTTATAACTCTCACCCTAACTTGCACCCCCAGCTCCCCAGCTACACACACACACACACACACACACACACACACACACACACACACACACACCAATGCTTCACTGTTCCTAAAATGTCTGCATTCTCCTCATTCTAAGGATGACCTGCCATTTGGCTTCTGAGTCAAGTTCACCTGACACCCAGAGCAGCCTTTCCAGTTCCACTGCTCTCTCCGAGAGAAGCTGAGCTCTTGAGAAAGTATTCAGGAGTTGGCACCTTTTGTGAAGAGTGAGACTATTGGCATGATTTAACCAACCCAGAATTCCTCTACCCAGCACCCAACCCCCAGCTCCCTGGCAGGCTGCTGCAGGTGCGCTGTCTTAGGCAAGGGTCTGATTGGAAGCTGTAAGTCCAGGTCCTCCCTGGCTGGGAGAGGGGACAAAGGGCAGAGGGACATTCCTAAAAATGTGAAACCCTGAGAGGTAATGTGGACTTTGGTTATCCCAGCCATACAAGTACATTAGTGGAGTCCTATGCACATAAAACCAAACCCAATTGAATCCAGACTAACCAGCTTCTCTTTATTGTATTGAATTATCTTAGGGAAGCCATCGTTATCCTGAAATTGCACACTCACCCCTAAGCACTCTGGAAGATTTCCCCGGCATAATACCCCAGGGAGTCCAAACGTACCAGGTCAGTGAGTTTACTTTTACCGAAACCTAAATGCTAAAAGATAAATGAAAACTGTAACGAAGGAACAAGCAAGCTTTTCAGAGTTGTGATTTCTTAGTTGCACCTCATCCAAGTCAGAGAGATGCTGGAATCCAAGGTCAGGCCTGAGCTGGCCCGGGATGGACTCAAGGGTGAAGCATCTGACTGATCTACAGATTAATCATTATAGTCTCTTCAAAGTGATACTCTTTAGACATTTGTTTGATGTTTACTCTGAAGAACAGCTGAGCCTGAAGGTTGAGCCTCTAGCACTGATTGCAAATGTTTAATCTCCACTCAGACAAGAGTCCTCCACTGACTGCCCTTAACCTTCTAGAAGGACAATTTAGAAATGATCTATTACTGCTAGAGGACAGCTCCTTCACCATCTCCTACACACACACACACACACACACACACACACACACACACACACACACACACACCTCTACTGCCAGGAGAGCTCCAGCACAAACTCTTTCCTCATCCCATTATATTCCTACTGATGTTTTTGTGCACCTACAGAACTGGCCTGGACACCCTAAACTAGATTTGGAGACTTCCATTCAATTCCATTCAAATTAGCACTCAGATTTCTGACTTAGGTTTTGATACCTCACTGTCAAAAAGCAAGATCACATAGGCCTCAGCATAATGATCCTTTTTATGTGGGGCTTTATTTGATGGTTTATTTTTTCTTCTTTGTGCTGATACTAGGGGCTTGAACTCTTGCTTCTTTTTTTTTTCATCTCAAGGCTGGTGTTCTACCACTTGTACCACACCTCCATTTCTGGCTTTTTGCTGGTGAATCAGTGATAAAAGTCTCATGGACTTTTCTGCCCAAGTTGGCTTCAAACCTCAAGCCTCAGATCTCAGCCTCCTGAGTAGCTAGGATTACAAGCATGAGCCACCAGAACCCAGAAATGATCCTTTGTTTGTGAACAGGTTTCATTGGAAAACGAATCAAGCAGGACAGGGAGATTCTCTAAACACCAAAGAAAGAAGTACAGAGGCACCGTAAGAGGAGGGGGCAGGGTGCCCTCTCACCTGCTCCACCATTTGGCTCTAAGACATTGCCACATGACAGGAAGGGTGCTTTCCCATTCTGGTGGCATCATCACATCATCATGCTCATCCTCTCACCCAGTCCAGTATGGGTTGCCTCAATCCTGATCCAGAAGGGCTGGTGACTGGCCAGGCCACTTGTAGATACACCAAGTTTCCAGGGAAATTTTTGTCTTTCTCTGTAGAGAGTGGATTCTCACCAACCCCTCCGAGATCCCGTCGGACGTCCTATCATGCACCTGTCAGGTCTTAAACATGCCACGGGTGAAGCCATATTTTGTGATGACATCCCAAGGGTGGATAAAGAACTTTCCATGGCTTTGGTGACCAGTACCAGGGCTCATGCAAAAATCATGTGAGTAAACCAGAAGCTTTCAAAAACAAAAACAAAAAACACCTTGTGAAAGCTTGCCTGAGGTTCCCTATGATAGTGATAGATCAACTTCTCCTATAATGTCCTGCATCCAAAGAACCTAAAATGAAAAAGAATAAAGAAAAGGTCACCAGCCTAGGAGCAGGAGGGAAGGGAGAATATCTAGAAATTACCTTCATGAAAGAATGTTTTTTAATCACTGTTGTGGTCCCTTTGTTCCACTTTATCTTCCTGCTGTCACCTGGGGTGGGCTCAATGGAGCTACTCTTACCCAGGGCTGACACGGGCTGGTGGTAATACATTGAAACACTGACTTCTTGACTGAACAGTGATTTCCAAAGAATAGCCCTTGAGATCCTGCTGCCTCCAATACCCTCACCTCACTGCACCACCACCCTCAGCAAAAGAAGTGTTCCTTCCTGGCCCAATGTTCCTTCCTGGGTCTCCCGAACCCTACTCCGTGGCAGATCCATTCTAATTTGTCAGGGTTGATTTTTATTTTTTTTGACCACCGTACAGCCCCTCCTTCAGGTGTGGGCCCTTAAAACATGCAGATTTCTACTTCTTAAATATCTCTCCATGTGTGCAGATCAATTGATACATCCGAGGCTCTTCAACTACCTGGGGTGGTTGATGTGGTAACAGCTGAAGACATTCCAGGCACCAATGGTACTGAAGATGACAAATTGTTAGCCATAGATGAGGTATGTATGGGAACTACTATCTGAAATGATTCAGTACAAATAACCACTAAGAAAAGCTTGGTACTGGTGGCTTACATCTGTAATCCTAGCTACTCCTGAGGCTGGGATCTGAGGATTGTAGTTCGAAGTTAGCCTGGGCAGGAAAGCCTATGAGATCCTGATCTCCAATTAACTACCAGAAAAGGCCAGAAGTAGAGTTGTGGCTCAAGCAGTAGAGCACTAGCATTGAGCAAAAAAAGCTCAAGGACAGAGTCCAGGCCCTGAGTTCAAGCCCCAGGACCAGCACAAAGAGAGAGAATGTTGGGTGCCAGTAGTTCACGCCTGTAATCCTAGCTACTCAGGAGACTGAGATTGAGGATCACAATTCAAAGTCAGCCCAGGAAGGAAAGACCATGAGACTCTTATCTCCAATTAACCATCAGAAAACCAGAATTGGGGCTGTGACTCAAGTGGCAGAGCACTAGCCTTGAGCTGAAGAGCTGAGGGACAGTGCCCAGAGTTCAAGCCCCACAATGAGAGAGAGAGAGACCACCTTCAGCCACCTCTTCATTGCCTTCCAGCTCTTTCTAACTCTGGGAGGAAGAAATACTACTGATTCCCCTCTACCTTATTTAGCCTTGCTTTATTGGAGTCAGAAAATCACACAGTAAAAGGAAACATCACCACCCTAATTCATCCACTATGTGCTCTTAAGTTCATTTACCCTCATCTGAAAAGTAAATGCAGGGGCTGGGAAGGTAGCTCAGTGGTAGAGCACTTGTCTTGCATGCCTGAGGCCCTGGGTTCAATTCCTCAGCACCACATAAGTAAAAAGAAAAAAGCCGGAAGTGGCGCTGTGGCTCAAGTGGTAGAGCACTCGCCTTGAGCTGAAGAGCTGAGGGACAGCGACCAGGCCCAGAGTTCAGGCCCCATGACCATACCAAAAAAAAAAAAAAAGTAAATGCAAGGAACTACTGATCTATATCAAAATGGAACCCTCTAGAAAGATCTAGAAAGATTACAAAAAAACAAAAACACTGCCACTTCCTCTTGTTTACACTGAACTCTCTCCCTTCTTGGACAAATCATCTGCTTATACTTTACCTTCCTTCACACACTAAGGTACCTGGATTCCTGTTCTAGCTATTCCACAAAATAGCTATATGTCCTTCAGTTTCATCATCTGTAAAGGGGAATAATCACAGCTTCACTGTGTTGTTACAGGAGTTAAATGAGTAAATGTATGCCAGGCACTGGTGGCTCTCGCCTATAATCCTAGCTACTCATGGGGATTAGAGCTGAGGATCATGGTTCAAACCCAGCCGAGCCAGGAAAGTCTGTGAGACACTTATCTCCAATAAACTACCAGAAAACTGGATGTGGTGCTGTGGCTCAAGTGGTAGAGTGCTAGCCTTGAGCTGGAGAGCTGAGGGACAGTGCTCAGGTCCAGAGTTCAAGCCCCATGACTGAAAAAAAAAATGAGTAAAATGTATGTAAAGTGTGATTGGTCCCTGAAGAGCCATTAATGTCCCCTCTCCATGAGTTCCACAGTTTCCTCCAGCTATAGAGTGAATGAAGTTCTTTTAGTTGAACACTAGCTGGAAGAGTTTGGTTGTCAGGTAGGAGCCAAATTAGTCAGTGTAGGCTGCCACAATAAAGTACTGACTGGGAGTCCTAAGCAATAGAAAGTTATTGTTTCATAGATCTGAAGTCTGAGTCGGAGATCAAGTGTTGGCCAGTCGGTTTGGTTTCTCCTGAGGCATCTTTCCTTGGCTTGTAGATGGCTGCCTTCTCGCTGTGTCCTTATGTGGCCTTTTCTCTGTGCAGAGATACCCGTGGTGCCTCTCACTTCTCCACTGCGGTTGCCAAGCATACTGTACTAGGGCCCCACCCTTACGGCCTCATTCACGATCACTTCATGGCTCCAGCTTCCACATATGAATATGGAGATGTTATTCAGGCCACAATAAGGACCATAATATACAAAAATATGATGCGTGTCCTTTCACTATACAGCGATATCATGAAGGAGATGAGTGTGAGCCCGGTTCAGCAGAGGAGAGAGAAATCCCAGCGGCGCCAGTCCCACATTCCCTCATTGCTTGACATGAACTCTGCAACTGGCTGGATTATTTACACTTTTTTTTTCATTAAAAAAAATGATTTCAAGACCCTGAATTTAAACCTCAGTACTGTCAAACAAAATTAAGCAGTAGTCATGGTGGCAAGTGCCTGTAATGCTAACGCTTGGAAGATTGAGGCAGGAAGATCTAGGCCAGCCTAGCTGACACAGTGATTTCCAGGCCTGCCTGGGCTACAGAGATATTCTCCTTTTTTTGTTTTTTGTATTTGTGATATTAGAAATGGAACTCAGGGCCTCATACTTGCTAAGCAGGCGCTCTACCACTTGAGCCACACTTTCAGTCTCTTTTTGTATTGATTACCTTTAAGGCAGAGACTCACTTTATAGCCAGACCATCCTGAGCTGCAGTCTTCCTATTTGTGCTTCCCTGTGTCACTGGGGGATAACACAAGCTGTTATCACGGTGACTGGTCATTGTGTTTCCTCCATAGCTAGGATAACAGGTGTGCACCAGTGTACCCAGCCATTCGTTAAGATGGAGTCTCACAAGTTTTTATTCAGTGCTGGCCTCAAACTGCAATGCCCTGATCTCCATGTGGAGATCGCTATGATTACAGGCTTAAACCACTGCACCCATCAGTAATAGACAGACAGACAGAGATATAAAAAATGAAAGCTTTATCCAGGCATATATAGTTAGATGTGAATCCAATGTGGTTGTTCTTGCTCAGTGATCACACCTAGGACAGCATCCACAGCGAGTGCTGAGCTAAGCCTAGCTCCCTCCGCAATGTCCCATCTCCTTTTTGCTCACATTTTCCTCAGGTACTTTGTGTGGGCCAGATCATATGTGCTGTGGTTGCAGAAACCGATGTGCAGGCAAAACGAGCAACTGAAAAGATAAAGATCACCTATGAAGACCTGGAACCTGTCATTTTCACCATTGAGGTGAGCAAGGATGGAACTCCCCCACCTCCAGTATGGAGAGTCAAAACTACCTGTACAAGTAACAGAATTGCAAGATTCATTAGAGAATCCATTTACCCCTTTTGGCATTGACTTCCTCTAGAAAAATCAGCAGTCTAAGATATTACTTGTATAAATTGGCATTATCTTTGGAACAGGGAATAGAAACAGTGAGCCATTTGAATACTTTATTCTATTACTTTATCTTATTTTGTTTTTGGTGCCAGTCCTATGGCTTGAACTCAGAACCAAAGCACTGAGAGTTTTAGCTCAAGGCTAGTGCTCTATCACTTGAGCCACAGCTCCACTTCTGGCTTTTTTTTTTTTTTTGGTGGTTCATTGGAAATAAGAGTCCTGTGAACTTTCCTGCCTGGGCTGGTTTCAAACCACAATCCTCAGATCTCAGCCTCCTAAGTAGCTAGGATTACAGGAATGAGCCACCAGCACCTGGCTATATTTAATTTTTTGATGGTACGAGAGTTGAAATTCCCCACCTTGTTAGATAGGTGGTCTACTACTGAGCCACACCCTTAGCACTCTTTTTGTACTTTTTTTGCCAGTCCTAGAGCTTGAACTCAGGGCCTGGGCACTGTCCTTGAGCTTCTCCATGCTCAAGGCTAGCGCTCTACCACTTGAGCCACAGCACCACTTCCTTTTTTTTGGTACTTGAGAGAAAGTCTTGCTCTTGCTGATAGAATTCAGAGGGTTATTCAGTTTTCTTGGTTTTGTTAAGACTTGCTTTATGTCCTAAATAAGATGTTTTGGAGAAGATTCCATGAGAAGAGAAGAATGTGTACTGGGTAGGTGTTGGGTGAAATATTCTGTAGAGGTCTGTTAAGTCCATTTATTCAGTAGGGCTGAACAATTTTGAGGTTTATTTGTCTAGATGACCTATTCATTGGTGAGAGTGCGGTGTTATAGTCTCCTACTGGTATTGTGTTGGGGTCCGTGTTTATAAATCTGGTAGTATTTGTTTAATGACACTGTGATTGAGTAGATGTTAAAGTTGCTGTTGCCTCTGGATGGAATGTCTCCTTTGTTAGTATGAAGTGGTCCTATTTGTCTCTTCTAATTTTGGTTTGAGCTCTGTTTTTATCTGTATAGTTACTTGTGTCTGCTTTGGGGGTCTATTTACCTGGAAAATGTTTTGCTTTTTTTTCCCCATCCTCCTAAAACTACCATGTAGTCTAACATAAGTATTTTTCCTTAAGGAAAAACACTTACCAGTACCCCACTCTCAGTGACTGTTTCCTGACAATCACTTTGAAACTGAAAAGTTTACGTTTATCACTGTGGAGCATCTTACAGACCACCAGCCTAGCTTCCTTCTTAATATCTCCCTAATCCTTCCTGCTTGGTTTCTCTGAGAATATAATACATTTCCTGAGCCAAGCGCCAATGACTCATGCCTGTAATACTAAGCATTCAAGAACCTGAGATCTGAGGACTGTGATTCTAAACCAGCCCAGGCAGAAAATCCCCATGAGACTCTTATCTCCAATTAACCACTCAAAAACTAGAAGTAGTGCTGTGGCTCAAGTGGTAGAGGGCTAGCCTTGAGCACAAACAGGCTCATGGAGAATGCCAAAGCCCTGAGTGCAAGCCCCACAACAGACAAAAAAAAATTAAAGACGATGGTTTCCTCCCCATCTTCCCTCTGCTGTGAGTACTGCTCTAGGGCTCACTTGACTGCTTGACACCTTTCATGTGTCCCAGAAGATAGAGATTGGGGGAGGTATACTGACGTTTGTTTAAAAAAACAAACTTTCATTAAAAAAAATAGTGAGTACAAATGTAGAAATAACTGGCTTTTGTGTTTTTCCTCTGTTATTCAGGATGCCATAAAACACAATTCATTCTTATGCTCTGAAAAAAAGCTGGAGCAAGGAAATATTGAGAAGGCATTTGAAATGGTGGATCAAATTGTTGAAGGTATGCAAATCTCTCAGGAGAGTTTATGGACTCTGTGCCTTACTATGTTCATATCCAGATGTTGAGAATATCTGATTTCCCCTCAGAAAGATCATTCTTGGCCAGATGTTGAGAATATGTGATTTCCCCTTAAAAAGATCATTCTTGGAAGCCTTGAGGCTGTGCCAAATTTGTACATCCTCCCTTATTGCATGTGTGTGAGCATGTGTATTTGTGTACACATGTGAATACAGGCACACCATGTTGTATTTATGGTGAAGGATACAAAGCAACAGAATATATGGCAGTGAAATTTCTAACATTCTGACTAGTTAAGAACAGTATAAGGAAAAGAATTTAGCACTTCCAAATTCAGAAGGTCCAGAATTATGGTCTCTGAAACAGGTTGTCTTTGGATGCCACAAGACAAATGCCTGGTTCTCAGTCAGGACAAATGCAGGCCAGCTAATCCATATCCTATTGCTTTTGTGGTCCCCAACATGGTAGATTCCAGCCAGCCCATACTTCCAGGAGATTTCTATGCTTGTGCTTAACAGGAGAAGTCCACGTTGGAGGACAAGAACATTTTTACATGGAAACACAAAGAGTCCTTGTTATTCCTAAGACAGAGGACAAAGAACTGGATATTTATGTGTCCACACAGGATCCAGCCCATGTTCAGGTCAGGTGCAGGATTTCCCCCCATCCTTACTTTCCTAAATCTATCACAGCTTCTCACAGATGGTAGTCATTTTACCTACAGAAATTTAGAATCAAAGTATTTGACATCCATGAAATAGCTAACCAAGAAGCTCTTTATTTTCCTTTTTCTGGTCTTTCCAAGTAATAAGAGGACAGCCATGGTCACTTTGGATTGAAAGTAAGTTTATTTGTGTCAGGCTTACATGAACTCTGTGATGGATGACATTACTAAATGATTCCTGTACTTTATTTTTCCCCCTAATGTAAGCATAATGAACAACTGTGTATAGACATTATTTTCCATTTTACTTCCCCAGTCAAGAAGTGCTCTTGGTTTTAGTTGTAAACATGTCTCGTTAATCAACTGTCAGGAGTTTCCTGGTTTTTACCTCGTTGATGTGTAGGTGCAGGCTAGGAGTCCAGCTTCTGACAAGCATCCACAACTTTGACAGTTTTCCTTCTGATAAATACCATTTTTCTTCTGGAAGAGCTGTTCTGTGGATGTTGATGATGTTTCCAAACTAAATAGAGCCCTGTAAAACATATTTAGAGACTATCTAAACATCTATTTTTAACAGAAGGTAGATGTGAAAGAATCCTGCTGCAATGTTGAATCATGCCGTTTCACTGACATTCATTTCACTCTTGCAAAACCTCCTATTCTCTCACACTTACAGAAAACAGTGTCTTCCACTCTAAACATCCCCATCAACAGGATCACCTGCCATGTAAAACGAGTGGGTGGAGGCTTTGGAGGGAAAGTGGGCAGGCCTGCTGTGTTTGGGGCACTTGCTGCAGTGGGTGCTATCAAGTGAGTATGCCTGGGGAGACAGAGGGTGTGGAGAACAGAGCTGAGTGCCAAACAGTGGACAGTCATTCTGGCTGCCATCAGAGCCACTTGCATGTCCCCGGGCGAATCAGCCTACAGTTTCTCTTCCTTCCTTCCTTCCATCCTTCCTTCCTTCCTTCCTTCCTTTTCTTTTTTTCCTTTCTTTCCTTCTTTCCTTCTTTCTTTTGTCAATTGTAGGTATTGAACTTAGGACTTGGGCACTGTCTGAGCTTTTTCATTCAAGGCTAGTACTCTACCGCTTTGAGCCACAGCTCCACTTCCGGGATTTAGGTGGTTAATTGGAGATGAGAGTCTCACAAACATTCCTGCCCCAGACTGGCTTTGAGCTTTAATCCTCAGATCTCAACCTCCTGAGAAGTTCTGATTATAAGCCACCAGTACTGGTGCCATTTCTATTTCTGTACAAAATTTCTTTTCACTTGCCCTCTTATCGCCCACCATTTGAGAGTTATTGCAAAAGTGAGCTATAGAGAGGACTTGGAGTAACTTAATGGGCTTTATATTAAAAAAGAAAAAAAGTTGGAACTGGGCATCAGTGGCTCACATCTGTAATCCTAGCTACCCAGGAGGCTGAGATCTGAGGATGGAAGTTCAAAGCCAGCTCGGGCAGGAAAGACCATGAGACTCTTATCTCCAATAAACAACCAGAAAACCGGAAGTGGTACTGTGGCTCAAGTGGTAGAGTGCTCACCTTGAGCTGTAGGGTTCAGGGACAGCACCCAGCCCCAGAGTTCAAGCCCCACAACCCCCCGCCCTCCACCACACACACACACACACACACACATACACACACACATGTAAAAAGAGGTTGGGATGATTGGTTGAATAGCTCCAGAGCTGAGACTACTCATTCTTCAACTTCAGGAAGATGGCTGGCCTTTTTAGGGGAAGGACAAGGTACCCTGCCAAATTCATTGCCCCTGACTTTCCTCCTTCTTTGAGCCCTGGAGGGAGATCGGGTAAGGAGAAACAGGCTCTCATCCTCTACCTCCTCCAAGTATCCTCTATGGATAGATGACTGCCCAAGAAGACCCCTGAGATAACTGAAATGGAAGGGAAGGATCACTTCTCTTATCTTTACACTTCAGCATTCTTATCTAACTAGTTCTGGCTATGAAGGATTTTGTTTCTATGACTGGGTTGTTGTTGCTTTTGTTATTGTTCAGTATTTTGTTGGAGCCCCCATCAGTCTACAAAGTTCTCAGATCTTGCTTGTTAGGACAGCATCTATGCAGCTGGGCAAAGTCATAGAGCATTCAGACATTGTGTGAGTCTATAGTAAGCAGTGGGGAAAGCGAGAATCCCATCTCTAATTCTTCCTACAATTGATTCCTCTCTAAAACACATGTCAGAGACCCAAATGATTAACAGACAGCTAATTCTCATATTCTCACCAGGCCTTATGCCTTCCAGTCCTGTCAAATCTAACTACACATTAGAGTCAAATGGAGCATTTACATCTCAACACCTCAGCAGCCCATTACCAATCACTGGCATCAGTACTTTTTTTTAAACTTGCACAGTAGTTCTACCAGGCAGCCAACTATTCGAACCAAGGCCTTCAAAGGCAACTCTGCCTCACATACAACTAGCATGCATTAAGTAATCCTTTAGCAGTGTGTTCAGAGTTTGAACCTCCTGAAAAGTCATGGAAATGTCTGCCTCAAAACCAAGTAAATAGGGGAGTGTGGTGGCTCATGCTTGTAATCCTAGCTACTCAAGAGATAGATCTGAGATTGTGGTTTGAAGCCAGCCAGGCAAAAAAACCCTGAAACTCATATCTCCAGTAAAAAAAAAAAAAAAACAAACAGTAAAAAAACCATAAATGGAGTGGTGGTTCAAGTGCTAGAGTGCTAGCCTGGAATGAATAGCTAAACACACAGGCCATGAATTCAAACCCCAGAATCAGCACGCATGTACATGCGCGAGCATAAACATACACACACACACACACACACACACACACACACACACACACACCTTTTTTTTTTGCTAATCCTGGGGCTTGAAATTCAAGCATGGGAACCATCCCTGAGCTTCATTTGCTCAAGCCTAGTGCTCTACAACTTGAGCCACAGCACCACTTCGGGCTTTTTCTGTTTATGTGGTACTGGAATGGAGCCCAGGGTTTCATGCATGCTAGGCAAGCACTCTACCACTGAGCCATATCCCAGCCCCACCATCTTTTTTAAAAAGAAGAAACCTTATGTATCTGATCATAAGAAATAATATTTATTGAAATGAACTCCAGGAAATGGAAAGAAGATGAGTTTTTCTTTGTTGCTGTTTTCCTTTTCTATCTGTCTTTGGGAGGGTAAAGGGGGCATAGAAATGAAGGGACAAAGGGGGACAAAGAACAAATGCAGCAGATATTCACTATACACTATGTTGAAAGTGAACTATACAACTAGTGGATGGGGACAGGAGGGAAAAACTGGGAAAGAATGAGGGGAGAAGTGACATTGTCCAAAAAGACATGTACTCTTTACCTGACTTATGTAACTGTAATGCCTCTGTGTATCACCTAAATCATTTTTTTAAAGAAGAAACTCTTGCTTTCCCATCTGAAAAATAGCCCTACTGATTCAGAATTATCAGATGATGGGTCCAGAAACTGTAAATCTACTTGGCATTTTTCTTTTCTTTTCTTTCTCTTTCTTTCTTTTTTTTTTTTTTTTTGCCAGTCCTGGGTCTTGAACTCAAGGCCTGGGCACTGTCCCTGAGCTTCTTTTGCTCAAGACTAGTGCTCTACCACTTGAGCCACCACGCCACTTTTGGCTTTCTCTGTTTATGTAGTACTGAGGAATTGAACTCAGGGCTTCAAGCATATTAGGCAAGCACTCTACCACAAAGCCACACTCCCAGGCCCTACTTGGCATTTTTCTACTGGTGTTGTTTTCATTTGTCTGTTCAAATTTCTAACTAGTGGTGAGAATATGTGCAATGACTAGAGCTGAATAAAGGTCAAACTTGAAGCTATGTAAGTATGATTTAATTGCCATATGGTATTAACTCCTTTAGACAAATTTCCAACCATTGAGTTATAGCCCACAGAGACAATAGTAGTTTAGCATTACTTTATATCCATGCCAAGCAGATTGCATGGAATTAATAAATACATGAGACTGATAGATGAGTAGTTAAATGAATGATATAAAGGCTGGGAGAGTGGGTGGATGGATATGGGAGTTAGTTAAATAGGGAAATGGATATGTGAGTGGGTGATGAATGAACAGATGGATGAGTAGACAGACAGGTGGATGAGAAGGATAAAGAATCTGACATTTGTTTTCTCTAGAACTGGTCATCCCATTCGTCTAGTTCTGGATCGTGAGGATGATATGCTAATTACTGGGGGAAGACACCCATTATTTGGAAAATATAAAGTGAGTATTAAGGATTATTTAAATATCTCATTTTATTTTAATGACTTTGTCCTGTTCTGTTATTAAGGTTTTTTGTTGGTTGGTTGGTTTTGGGTTTTTTGCCAGTCCTGGGGCTTGAACTCAGGACCTGGGCACTGTCCTTGTGCCTCTTTGTGCTCAAGGCTAGCACTTACCACTAGAGCCACCGCACCCCTCCCCAGTTCTGTTATTTTGATTTTTCAAATTCTAAACACAATTTTAGTATCTAAATTACTAAAGGAGCATGGATATATTTGAATAGTTGTGGCATTTTGTAAGGAGCATTTAGTTTGTGATTATGAAGACATTCAATGAGGGAAATATAATTTGAAATGCTCATTTTAAAAGATATACTGGGGCTGGGAATGTGGCATAGTGGTAGAGTGCTTGCCTACTGAATGATGCCCTAGGTCAATTTTTCAGTACCACATGAACAGAAGAAACCAGAATTGGCACTGTGGCTCAAGTGGTAAAGTGCTAGCCTTGAGCAAAAGAAGCTCAGGGACAGTGACAGGCCCTGAGTTCAAGCCCCAGGACTGGCAAAAAAAGAAAAGATATACTGTTTGAAGGAATAGGGACTTATATTAATGTTCCACACAAAAAAATGCCTTGAATGAAGCTATAAACATTGTTATTTAAAAACGCTACTTCTTAATTCATAAACTTCATAGACCATAACAATGACAGTTTGCCTTGTGAAGGTTAAAATGTGTTTGTGTTTTTAAGTATCACCATCCCACAATATTGTGAAATTTATGTAATCACTTAATCTCAATTTAAATTTTTTTGTTTTGTTTTGTTTTTTGGTCAGTCGTGGAGCTTGAACACTGGGCCTGGGCGCTGTCCAAGCGCTTCAGCTCAAGGCGAGCGTTCTACCACTTGAGACACAGTACCACTTCCAGTTTTCTGGTTGTTTACTGGAGATAAGAGTCTCATGGTCTTTCCTGACCAGGCTGGCTTTGAATTGTGATCCTCAGATCTCAGCCTCCCGAGTAGCTAGGATTACAGGCGTGAGCCACCAGTGCCCAGCTAAATAAAAAATTATTTTAAAAACAACTACTCTTGACTATAAAAATCTTTTTAGTAAAAATATTTGGCAACAATTTGACCATTTTAGCTATACAATAATTTTATATGTTTCTATAAACTCATACTAATTGATTGTGAATCAGTTAGGACTCCCGTAAGCAGTGAATTTAAAATTATTTCAAACCACAGTCACTGCATTTTTATGAACTGTATTATAACACAAATAAAAATATGTGCTGGCATCTAGTTTATCATGCTATATTTTGAATGGTTAGGACAGTTGTAATGTAACATAAAACATATGAAGCATGTTTAATTTGGTTGCCAGCTTGCTTATCACATACACAGTTAGGTTTCCTATCTGATTTTGTCATGCCTTAGATTGTTATTATATCACCTGTATTTTTTAAGTTACAGCTTTCCATACCACAGTTGACATTAGTAATTTTTTATAATTGGTGACCATAGTTGGCCAGTAAACTTTTCTTTCCCTTCAAAGGTATAGAAACGAATAGTCTGGACTATTCTTCATATCTTGGTTGTTGTTGCTGTGATTGTGGCTTGAACTCAGGGCTCAGGCCTTTCCCCTCAGTTTTTTCACTCAAGGCTAGCACTCTGCTTGTTTAAGCCATAGCTCCACTTCTGGTTTTCTGTTGGTTAACTGGAGATAGGAGTCTCACATATTTCCTACCTAGGCTGGCTTCCAACCATGATCCTCAGATCTCAGCCTCCTGTGCTCAGCTATTCTTTGTATCTTTTAGGACCAATGGCAACACAGAGGGAAACAGCGGGACTGGGGGTGTTGTGTTGTAGTAGTTGTTGTTGTGTTCTTTATTCGTGGCCTGGATTATAAATTAAGTTTTATATCACAATGATGAGCCTGCTTTAGTGATACTATTTACTAAGGAGGTTCTAGATTATCAATAGCTAATTGCTAATATTTTTTTATAATTAAGTGTAACTAAAAGAGAGGATTAGACTTGGAAAATTCAAATGTGCTATCTTTCTCTGTTTATTTGGGGTTTTTTTTGGAGAGACTCTTGCTATGAAGCCAGGCTAGCCTCAAACTCACAATCTTCTTGTCTCTGTCTCCCAAATACTTTGATTATCAGCATGTTCTAACTAACTCTTGGCCCAATTTTTATATTATTTTTCAAGAAATATAATTTTACTTCCAATATAATATATATGCATTTGTAAATTTGAGGATATACACATACATTTATAACCTTATTCAAACATGCTAACAAAGTTTTGCTTCATTATTCAGAACTATTTGTAAATTAGCATAATGGATGATCATGTGTACATAGGCTCTTCCCAAATTCTTGAGACATCAATATTAGTTAAAGAATTCTGTCTGCTACCTTATTTAAAACACTATTTTGGGGCATACCTTTCCTTTCTTCATGAAATGTCAAAGGTTTACTTTAGCCTAGTATTTGTCAAGATTACCATAAACTGAATTTGTGGATTTTCCTATACTTCATAACTTCACTGTGGCTTATGAATCAATATGGCCCTTACAGTAGATAATGGAAACTACAATTATTTCCAGTATACTTATCCTTGTTTACAACAGAGGGCTATGCTTCAGTAGCTCATGCCTGTAATCCTAGCTACTCAAGAGACTGAGATCTAAGGATTATGATTTGAAGCGATCCCAGGCAGAGAAATCTGTAAGACTTTTATCTTAAAGTACGGATGGAGCTGTGGCTCACGAGGTGGAACACAAGCCTTGAGCAAAACAGCCAGGGAATAGCACCTAGAATGAGACACCATGATTCATCCTCATGTGTTCTGGAATCCCAGAGACTTTCCCACTGGGTAGAAAGAGCCTCAGGCTAAGTCAGGAAAATTTTCAGTAAAAGAAAAAGCATATATAAGAATATATTATATAAATATATTTTATAAAAATTTATATGAATATAAATACATATTATATGTATATATAAATACATTATATATTTTATTTTCATTTTATATATATATATATATATATATAATAAAAGAGAATCTTCCAAGGCTAAGGAACATGAGTGTGGCAATTATGTCCTGAGAGACAAGCAAAAACTTGAGAATTTCACCAAGTATGAAACCAGAAAATTGCATGATAAAGGAAAGGACTCAGCAAAAGTCGAGTCTGAAGAGATCTTCTCCAATCAAACACTGAAAAACAAGGCAATAGCAGGCAAGGGTACACCACAGAGCAAATGGAGCAAAATCTATTTCAGTCCTGCCCATTAGAGGGACTGGACTTGTGATTCACACATATTGGTAAAATGTCCATCCTTTGGTAACAGGTGGGATTCATGAACAGCGGGCGAATCAAAGCTCTAGACATTGAGTGCTACATCAATGGAGGATGTGTGCTGGATGACTCGGAGCTGGTAAGTGCATTGGAGATGAGCTGCGTCCTTGATTATGAGTAGAATGTGAGCAGTTTGATTCTACTTGACTTTTAGCAAAAAGGAGGCTGAGGAGAAGGAGTGGCGTGTCTTAATCTCTGTGTGTGTCCTTTTCCTTTAGGTAATAGAATTTCTTATACTGAAGCTGGAAAATGCATATAAAATCCGCAACCTCAGACTCCGAGGCCATGCATGCATGACACACTTGCCATCTAACACAGCTTTTCGTGGGTTTGGCTTCCCACAAGGAACCCTAGTGACCGAATCTTGCATCACTGCTGTGGCAGCCAAATGTGGGCTTCCTCCAGAAAAGGTAAGGTTATAATCAAAGTCATATAACCAAGACTGAGAAAAAAGGACAGGTGGGGAATTAGCTCCCTTGACCCAAGCAAATACACTAGAAGAACCACACCAATTAAAAAATCAGGATGATTAGAAATCAAGATGATTAAGAACTACCTAAAAGAACTGGTGCCAGGCACCAGTGGCTCATGCCTTTAATCCTAGCTGCTCAAGAGGCTGAGATCAAAGCCAGCCCAGACAGAATCTCCAGTTAACCCCCCAAAAGCTAAGGGACATTGTCCAGGCCCTGTACTTCTCTCATTATGCAAAAGTCTCTCTCTCCCCCTCCCTCCTTCTGTTCCTCCCTTCTTGTTCTCCCCACATCTGTCTCTCTGTCTATTCAAAACCCCAAACCACACTTAAGTAGATATCCTCTTTTCCATCTCCCATTCCTGTTGGCCAAGGATAGCTATTGTTAATAGTTCTGTTTATCTGTAGGTGTATGAATACTAGTTGAAGAAGATAAAAGAGAACAATAAACAGGATAATATAATACAATATTCTTTTCTTTTATATTAGAATAAGATGGAAATGGTAAAAAAAAAATTAATCCTCCAGGCATTTCTCAGCAGCTTTGCCTATGCAGGCTACATTTCCCCCAGACATGAAACATGCCTATGACGATAAAAATAATAAGCAAGTTAACCATACTTTTCAAAAGCCATTGGAAGGCTTAGAGGGGATTTGTTACTTATCTTTATCTGCACTATTTTTCTAAAGCAAAACAAATCTTCAGTTGTGACAATAAATTATGACTTTACTATTCTGTCTCCCATATCTGCTCTATCTTCCAAAACTTGTAGGAAAATAAAAAGAAGGGGGAAAAAACCTTTCTATGCCCTCATCCCATTGTCTTTCCATCCCTACTGACCACTCTCCACTTCTGGCAGGGAGAGACCTGATTGGTGCATTAATGAAAAAATAAAAAAATAAGTTTTAAAAAGCACAGCCTTCTCAAAACAAAACGAAAAGAAGAAAAAAGAAACAAATGTTTGTGACAAATCCTTTAAAGAAAAATCTTTGCCTCCCCCCACCAAAGTGTATGCTTTACAGTAAAGGTTTTTCAAGCCTGTTTCCATCTAGCCCATTAACTGTATTTCTTACTCATTTCAGATTAGGGAAAAAAACATGTACAAAACGGTTGATAAAACCATCTACAAACAAGCATTCAATCCTGAGCCCCTGATAAGATGTTGGAATGAATGTCTGGACAAGTCTTCCTTTCACAGTAGAAGAATACAGGTGGAAGAGTTCAATAAGAAGAATTACTGGAAGAAGAAAGGCATTGCTATTGTTCCCATGAAGTTTTCAGTGGGCTTTGGTGCAACAAGCTATCACCAGGTAAAACTCAAACATAGCATATAGTAAGTAACCCTCATGTTATACTACTGGCCCAACCAACCCAATCAGTTTGCAAACAGGTTAAGAAAATGTCACACTTACCAGAGCAATGGGCCCCTCCTTGCCTGTACCTGTTGGAAATGTCCAAAAATCTCTACAGCAACCCTGATCTGCCAGCACTTCTAACCCAGTGCTATAGGAAAAGGTCATACTGACAGGAAACAGTACCAGCAAATGTCCAATCAGCAGGCTGTGGGAAAGAATAATGGGCCCTACTGACTCCACCACTCAAAGAAATAGAGACCCAGGGCTTTCTGCTCCTGGTCTCAGGACCATGTGGCTTCATGGCTTGGGGAAGAAAAAGACTTGTGGTCGGTGATCTAGACAACTACTACTTGGCATACTTGCTAAATCTCAGGCAGAGAAGTCATTCTTGTTTGCCCTGAGCAGCTGATATTGCAAGCTGCTTCTCCAGAAATCTCTGTCTATTCTCTTAGGGGAAGGGAGTGGGGTCTAGAAACCCTCCAGACAAATTCATGAGAGAAAAAAGTGAATCATTCACAGTCCTCATGGTGGGAAAAGAGCAGCATATAGGTAAGTCCTTTAAACAGAGGACTCTCCCTAAATTGCAATGGCTGGTGGACAGGAAAGCTATTTAGAAAACTGGGACTGAGGCTGGGAAGGTGGCTCAGTGGTAGAGCGCTTGCCTTGCATGTATGAGGCCCTGGGTTCGATTCCTCAGCACCACATAAGCAAAAAGAAAAAAAAAGAAAACTGGGACTGATTCTTGCCTTCTTGTTACTGTCTTCCAAAATCACAAAAGCCAGGAACAAAGAAAAAGCATACACTCATTAGATCACTTTGTAGTATGCCATTGAAAACATTCTTCCATTTGTACCCAGCTACTGACAACCAGTAGATAGATGCTGTCTCCCCCATCCTTTTCTTCTCTCTCCTTTCTCTCTCTCTTCCTCTCTCCTCTCTCTCTGTCTCTCTGTCTCTGTCTCTGTGTGTGTGTCTCTCTCACTCTCTCTCTTTCTCTCTCTCTCTCTCTCTCTCTCACACACACACACACACACACACACACCGTTATCCTGCAGCTATCTATGCCCCTCAAGAGTCATCTCATTAGCAAGTAACAAAATACATTTCACAGTTTTAGGAGTTGTGTACCAAGAACCAGTAAATATTTTATTGTTAGTATACCTTATTCCCCTTTGGATATAAGGCCACTTCTCATCTAAATCGCAGCCTCTCTGCTATTATCCATGGATGCCAAAAAACAAACAAAAACAAAACAAACAAACAAACCATGTTCTAAAGCCTTAAGTCAACCATTGACTGTAAGTCTCCCTTTGAGAAGCCTCCAGCTTCCTTCCCCGCTGAGCTCTACATTGACGCACACAGGACCACTTGGCTAGGCAGTGAAGGGTACTATGCCAGGTCAGCAGATGACTCACACAACTGGAACACCTACCACTGACAGTGAAAACACTGTCCTCAGAGGGTGTCACCAGCTCGAAGTGAGTAGATATTACTATTACCTCCAATACCTTTGACGGTCCCAGCCTCTCAAGCCATCTGGGCATCTCCTCCAGGCAAGAACGGACTCAAGTCCTAATCCCTTCTCCTCCTGGAAAGAAAAATACCTCCTTGCTATTCATCTAATGTAGCCAACATGTATGCAGTGTCTCTGTAATTGAGATCTGCTTGACATTTTCTACAGGATGTAGAGATGCCCAAGATCAGGTGCCTTTTCCTTGCAGTCCTTGCTTCTCCTGTATTAACTTGTGGATAGTATTTAATCTCCAATTCTGGTAGCTTCAGACAACAAATGTACTTCATGGAGCCTTCAGAAGGTGCATGGCTCTGCTGATACCCATTATATCACTGACTCACTTTCCTGTCTCCTTCTCCTCTGCTCTCTACCACTGACCCATATTACCAGCCCTCAGTGACTAGAAGCATGACAGTGACTGAATGACCAGCCTGTCTCCCCACTGCCTTGTGACCTACTGGCATAGAACCACATCTTGTTCTTCTTCATAGTATCCAGAGCTGGGCACAGGCTGAAAAAGGAAAAAAAATACATTTTACACACTGGGGTTAGTTAGTAATTTCAAGTATAGAGCTCACGTTCAAATAGTTGGAATCCATGAATACTTGTACATGGGTAGAAATGTTACAATGACCAGTCCCCATTGTAAAACTAGTTTATGCTAACATAAACAATATAGCATAAAATATAAATGGTAGACAGACAGACTGATAGAATAAATACAACTCCTGAGCTACCTGGAGGAACTTCTACTAACACCAAATTCCTAAGTAAGAAAGTTCTTTACAAATGACTTGGCAGAACAGAGAATCAGAAGCCTACCAGAATGCCTTGTCCAGTCTACCTTCTTTGCTCCACTATAGTGTAGTTTACTATCTCCTTTTTCTTTCTTTCTTTCCTTTTATTGGGGGCTGCGGGAGTGGGAAGTAGGGAGGGTCTTGACTTTGAACTCAAGCCTTCATTCTTGCTAGTCATGAACTCTACCAAGTGAGTACATCCCCAGCACTTTTTTTTTGGGGGGGGGGTCCGGTCGTGGGGCCTGAACTCTGGGCCTGGGTGCTGTCCCTTAGCTCTTCAGCTCAAGGTCAACGCTCTACCACTTGAGCCACAGTGCCACTTCTGGCTTTTTTCTTTATATGGTGCTGAGGAATCGAACCCAGGGCCTCAGGCATGCAAGGCAAGCGCTCTACCTCTGAGCCACCTTCCCAGCCCCTCCCCAGCACTTTTTTTTGCTTTGGTTATTTTTTCAGATAGGATCTTGAAGTTTTAACTCAGATGCAGCCTTCCACTGAAATCCTCCTACAGCCTCCTCCTACCTACAACCTTTCACACAGCTGGAACTACAGGCACAGAGCACCATACCCTGCTTCTTTGTTGAGACAGGATCTTGCTAACTTTTTGCCTAGGCTGGCCTTGAACTGAAATCCTCCTGATCTCTGCCTCTCCAGGAGCTGCGATTATAAACATGTACCCCCACACTTGCCTCCCTACCTCCTTTCTCGTATTGAACTTCCCCAAGTGCACTTCCAACTTCTTCCAACTTACACTGGTTGTCTTCCAGGCAGCTGCACTTGTTCATATCTACACAGATGGGTCTGTTTTGATCACACATGGTGGCAATGAACTGGGACAAGGCATTCATACCAAAATGCTGCAGGTAAGATGAATAAAATTATTCATCTCTCTAGTCCTTGTTGACCTGACTGAAATTCAGAATCCATCTTTTAAGGTAAATGATCTAAACTCAAAGACTTTGAAAAGCTTCCTTTATACAAAGTGCACCAACAGAGGTGGTAGAAATCTCATCTAGGGCTGGCGCCAGTGGCTCACGCCTGTAATCCTAGCTACTCAGGAGACTGAGATCTGAGGATCGCTGTTGAAAGCCAGCCCAGGCAGGAAAGACTGTGAGACTCTTATCTCCAATAAACCACTAGAAAACTGGGAGTGGTGCTGTAGCTCAAGTGGTAGAGCGCTTGCCTTGAGCTGAAGAGCTGAGGGACAGTGCCCAGGAGCAGAGGTCAAGCCCCACAACTGACAAAAAAAAAAAAAAAAATTGTCATCTAGGTACTTCTCCTCCCTGAGCCTGACTAGGGTTTTGGGGATGAAGGGGTTTTTAGACATTATCTTACTAAGTCCATGGGGCACCAAGGTGGGTGTTCCATGCAGATTATCCAAGAGGAGTAGTTTCTCAGCTTTCCTGTTTGTTTTGTTTTCAGGTAAGGGGTAGGTTTATTCAGTAGACCTGCTGGGACCAGGCCAGGTTGGCACTCCTCGCCGCTGGCAAAGAGGGCGTCTGGCCCTGGGCTAGGCCTTATCTAGAGTAGAGGCAGGGTAAGGTGTGGCCAGATAAAGGGAGGTGGGACCAGGTAAGAGGTGGGACCAGGTGAGAGAAAGGTGTGGCCACATCCGATCCAGATGTGACCTCAGCGGATGCGGATGTGACCTCTTCCAGGTGTCCCAGTTGCCCAGGTAACACAGGTACTGGGCGGAGACTTTGTTGTGAGGAGGGTGGAGTCTGCTCGCCATCCAGGATCCTACCTTACTCAGCCTTTTAATAATCATGGAATAGGGCGAGGATTCTCTCTGGCTACTTCCTGCTGACAAGGGGCGTTGACATTAGGGGTAAAAGGCTGGAATTTGGTCTCCTCCCAGAGAAGGCAGTGAGCAGCAGCTGTCCCTTGGTGGCGTGAGTCCTTAGATGAAATCTGGAGAAGTCTCATGAGCATTGAGGGGCTGGGAAAAAAATACTAGAGAGCAAATAAATGGCAAGAGGAAGGACTTGGGGCTGAAAAACGTTGGTAGAAATGTCCCTAGCTACTCCTGACATCTGTTGACTAGGTAGAGGAGAAGTCAGGTAACAAAGCAAGAATATAAATTCCTGTCCAGTTAATAGGTAGACAGGTATGGACACTAGATGGGCAGGCTTCTTACTTCTATTGACCTCCTGGCTCTGGTTAATTTTGAAAGGGCAGGCACAAAGTGGCTGATGTGACATCATCTCCTCTTACTCCTCTCCATGGTCCCTTGTTCCCCAGACTGGCTGAATGTAGGTGCTCATTGCTGGGATGGCTTGTCCCAGTTGGTATTCAAGAAGGTTTGAACTCAAGGCCTGGGCACTGTCCCTAAGCACTTCTGCTCAAGACTAGCACTCTACCACTTTGAGTTGTAGTAACACTTGCAGTGTTTGCTGGTTAGAGATAAGAGTCTTGAGCCATGCTTCCAGCCTGGCTCTTTGCAGATTAGTTGGGAGATGGAGTCTTAGGGATTTTTCAGCCTGGGCTGGCTTTGAGCTGCAATTTTTGCCACCAAAAAACCCTTTATTATTTCCAATTAAAGCAACAAGGAGATCAAGTAGAATAAGTAGAGCTTACCTGGTCCTTATCAAGAATGGCCAACAAATATTCTGAAATGACAAAACTCATTAGATGTGAGAATATTAGCACAGATATGTCCAATATTTTAGAGTCACATAGTTAGTACTAGAATACACAACACAAAACAAAAAGACAAAACTCAAAACCTAAAATTTTGACAACAATGTTTAGACATCTTTGCTAACAAAGCACATCAGATGGTTGGGCCTCAGTTACCAGGGTCTGTGAAAAGAGCAACTTGTTAGCAAGGCACCTTAGAATGTATGGATGGAAGAGTAGTAAGCTTGGTGGAAGGTTAAGGGTCAGATGGGGCCAAACCCTTAACCCACCATGTGGCCAAGACGGTGAACTCAAGACAGCAAGTTTCTGAAAAAAAAAAAATGCAAAGAAAGCTTGAACAAATAGATCAAGCCTAGTTTGGCTAGCCTTTGAGAGGGAACCTAGAGGGGGGCCCCCAGGACCCAACCTGCGTGGTACTCTTCAGGGCACAAGCTAAAATGTAGAAAAGAGAAAGGGAGAGATAGGGAAAGTTGGACATGATTGGCAGAGAGAGAGAGCAAAAAGAGCCTGAAAGTAAACAGACTTCTGACCATTTACCATTGCAGTGGCAAAAACTGTGTACATCTGAGAATGGCATAAAAATTAGGTGCTCTGGCTTTCCAGGGAGCGCAGGAGGCATTTCAAAGGGGTTTCACTCACAGCACCCCATTAAATGTGTAGGAGAGTCAGTGTGGTGAGTGAAGGAGAGCTGACCAGGCAGAACCGGCGTCCCGACTTCCCCCAGAGTCCTCTCGAAAGAAATGGCCAAGCCCCCAAAACCAAGTGTCCTCAGCTTCAGAGGTGACCGGCCTTTAGCCGAAAGGCCGTAGGAGCTCTCTGGCACGGCGCCACATCTGGACAGAGACTGAGCAACAGAGAACCGTAGAGAGTAGTTTTACTCACCAGAGAAGAGAAGTGGTGTGGACGTGGATGTGAAGGCCAGCAATGGTATCGATGCGCTGTGTCCGCAGCAGACAGACCGGTTCGCAAAAGGCCCTCAGAACTGTGGGTATTCTCAGAGCAAAGCAGGGAAAAAAGAAAAAAAGCAGAGAGGAATCCCACCTATCCTGACTTTAAGCCCTTCCCAGGTTTGGGCACCATTTATGTTAGGTTTTTCAAAAGAGGTAGCCGAGTAAGAACAGCACCACGCACGTGGTATTCAGGTAAGGGGTAGGTTTATTCATCGTTCTGGCTGGCACCAGGCCATGTCGGCCCTCCACACGGCTGGGAAAGGCCTGGGAAAGAGCTGGGAAAGAGAGAGAGCTGGGAAAAAGAGCAGCTATCCTGTTTTGACACTAGTAAAGTTTTTGAATTTTAAACAATATTAGGTTGCTGATGTCTTATTTTGGCACATAAGAACAAGTGTTTTACTGTCATCATCCTATCTTTTGTGTGTGTGTGTGTGTGTGTGTGTGTGTGTGTGTGTGTGTGTGTGTACTTGGGCTTGACCTCAGGGCCTGAATGCTGCCCTGAGCTTTTTTATTCAAAGCTGGCACTCTACCCCTCATTTTTAAAGGACAACTTAACATATATACACATATACATACACACAAAGAACAGTGTGACCTCAAAAGAAACTATAATCCTTTTTTTTTTATTATTTTGGTCAGTGGTGGGGCTTGAACTCTGGGCCTGGGCACTGTCCCTCACTCAGCTCTTCAGCTCAAGGCGAGCGCTCTACTACTTGAGCCACAGCATCACTTCCGGTTTTCTGGTGGTTTATTGGAGATAAGAGTCTCATAGTCTTTCCTGCAGGAGCTGGCTTTGAACTGCAATCCTCAGATCTCAGCCTCCCAAGTAGCTAGGATTACAGGCGTGAGCCACCAGCACCCGGCTTATTTCCATGTCTAATCCTTTAACTTGAATAGATTTAACTTTATGACACATATATTAGATAGTGGGATACAAATTCATAACTTCTCTTTTTCTAGCCTTAATTCCTTCAGAGTACTGACCTCCCACATTCCATGTTTTTAAAGGATTCCTCATTTCAGGTGCCTTTGAACCCAATCCCCCTCCTTGCTCCTAGTCCTTCACATATGATCCATCCTGACCAATTCTAAACCCCACTGGCTGCAGGAAAATGCATGTGGTCACACAAAACCAATCAGGGCCTGAGTTTAAGCCCCAGGACTGGCCAAAAAAAAAAAAAGCCAGTATGAAACTCTACTAAAAAGTTATATTTGAGGTCTACAAAGCCTAAACCTTTTAGAGTTTAAATGATTTCACAGATGTAATAATTAAAATAGTCATTATTAAGAGAAATACTGACTTCAATTGTCACAGAAGTTTTTGCTAGACTTGGAATGTATCTTTTCCCATAGGTGGCCAGCCGTGAATTAAAACTACCCATGTCCTATATGCACATCTGTGAAACAAGCACAGCCACGGTGCCTAATACAATTGCTACAGCAGCATCCATCGGCGCCGATGTCAATGGCAGAGCTGTGCAGGTGAGTTCTCCAGTCTGTCTTTCCCTACTGTCCCCCCATTTCTGATATTCTGAGGTAGATACAGGCATCCTAATTGCCTTCAGAGAAGTCCTCTGTTCCTGGAGATAACTAAAATGTCAGAAGAGTATTTGCTGTGGCAGATTTAATTGAGGTACCAGATGGACCCAGAATATAATGGCTCCAATATAACCACATGTTTGACCTAAAGGGAGTGTTTCTTCTGTCATTCAAACACTGGGATTGATGGGTGGCTCTAATTCATCCACATGTGGCTTTCCAAACAACATGAAGATGCCCAGGAGGAAGATCTCAGGCCAGATAGGGAAGTGAGACAAGTCACTTACCATTCAAAACACATTAGTAGATCCAGCGTGGTGAGGGGAAGGCTGTGGCAGTTAACAGCTAGGATTTGAACTCAGTGCCTGGACACTATCCTGTAGCTTCTTTGCTCAAATTTAACATGCTTTATTTACCACAACACCACTTCCTGCTTTTTTTTTTTTTTTTTTTGGTCATGGACTTTCCTGCCCACTCTGATTCTGAATCACCACCCCAGATCTCAGCCACCTGAGTGGTTAGGATTATAGGCATGAGCCACCACACCAAACAGCAGAGCTAATCTTAAGGGAGGTTGAACAACTGCTACTGTGGAATCAGGAGAGAGTGGGCTTTAGTGAAGGAGAAATCTCTGTTCCTAGGCAGCTCAGAAGGAATTTTATACAAAGTATTACAAAACATGGCAGATTCCCCTGGAACAACATGTCCTATGGGCAGGCAGACCCAATCCTAGAGCAGCAGAGATAGTGGTACAATTACACTGTTGTCATCACTGGCTTTCTACCAGAGTAAACAAGCGCTTTCCTTCATACTTACTTCCTAATTAATACTTTTTAAAAGTACTAAATTTTTACGACTTTATGGTCCTTAAGTCAAATATCTGAAAATATCTACTGCATTTGTCTTGTTTCTATTACAAGCCATTCCTTCTTTCCATTGGGACAGTGGGGAGAAGCATATTTTCCCAGGACACTGTGTGGATGCCACCAAGAAGAAAAAGGTTACACCTAAGTGTCCTATACATGCAAGGCCAGTGCTCTTCCACTTGAGCCATTCCCAAAGCCCTCTAATTTGTATTTTGTTCTAACTTTTTGTGAAGTTGGCTTAGAAATGTAATTCTTCTGCCTCTACCTCCTGAGTAGATTAAAGATGTGTATCATCATGCCCAGAAAGATAAACTGCTTTTAAATTAATCTTAACTAGTTGACACCTTTCAAGGGCCAACAAATAGAGACTGTTTTGTGCAAAACAAATGTGGGAAAAACTTCAAATTTATGAGATTGTCTCTGGGGTAAGTCCAAACACAAGGGAGGCACAGTTCAGTAACTATGGGCATTTATTAGTAAAATTAGGTGTCAGTACCTCTCCTAGGGTGGCAAGTATTAGGTTTTTGTTTTTTTTTTTTAATTTAGGTTTTTGTTTAAAGATCAGAAACATTGTGTGCATAGTTTTGTTTTGTTTTGTTTTGTTTGTTTTTTTTTTTTTTTGGTCCAGTCGTGGGGCCTGAACTCTGGGCCTGGGCACTGTCCCTCAGCTCTTCAGCTCAAGGCTAGCGCTCTACCACTTGAGCCACAGCGCCACT